CATGTAAGTCGTCTAGAAAAAAATTAAAAATCAATTGCAAAACTAACCTCTGCATTGGCCAGACGATTTCTAGGTAAGTCGTCTACAACCAGATGACTTACCTGGAAGTCATTTGGACGAACAAATCTGAAAAAAAATCTCCATTTCAAAGTTTCAACCATTGAGATAACTTGTTTAGCACACAGAAGTCTTCTCCAATAACTCAGAATCTCAAACAAAAGCAACCCACCAAGAATCGTAAGCTTCAATGGCTCTATGAAGCATAAAAAATTTAAAATCAAAATCTTGGGTTTTTTTGGATGAGTATGGAGAGAAAGTGAAAGAAATGATATTTTTAGTTCATAAGAATTGAGAAAGAAGAAGTATACATTGATTAGAGGTGCTTTAAAAGCTTCAAATTGGTTGTTCATGGTGGTTGGTGTATTGATGGCAATGTCAATCTATTAAATACTAGAAGATGATGAGGTTGAGAGAGTAAAAAAACCAGTTTCGAAAAGCAAAAAAGCGAATGACATTTTCATAAATAATGTGAACTTATGGGGTGAATAGGGCAAAAAATTCCGAAAAACATAGGTTAGGTTTGGGTTGACTTCATGTTTAAGTCAATTTTGAAAATAAACCACAGTTTTAATTTCATTTAGTTAAGTTAGTTTTAGGTTAAACGAAAAATTAAACCAATTAGAACCTACAAATCGTGTAAGAATACTTATTTTTTTCTGAATCTTTGTACTCAACATCGTTTTTTCATACCTTTGCTCTTAATTTATTAAAAAGATAATTAAAAAGTTAAACCTGATTTTGAGTGAAATAATTGCAAATTTCAGCAATAATATTAAAACTAAATAAAGCTTTGACATAATATTCTGAAACAAAAATTAATCAAGAAAATCCATGGTTTGTTGAACTAGTTTGAGGAGCTTATGTCTAAAACCGAAGCTAGATCTTCGATTTAAGTATCTGAAAATAAATAATATTTCATATTTATGGACATAATTAAAGAAGTGTCATAGATAAGGCCTTTTTCATGTGCAACTGATGAATATAGGGTCTACAGTTTTTTTTATAATAAGTTTCGATTCATAATTATACATTTATAACATAAAATCAGAGTAACTATATTTGAATTTAATTGATATATCATGAATTTTACCCACTTTCAACCATGATTTATATATGTTTTTGGAAACAAAAGATTACTTTTAGTGTCTTTTTAGAGCTTTTACAGGTTTAGGTACTCACTGGTGTAAAATGGCTATTTTGGAGCTAAAATGGAGACTTTATGAAGATATGAGCAAAACGTGTTGAAGACATCGACCGATGCGCATTAAGAGAAATCGACCGATGCGCATTAAGAGCAATCGAACGATGAAAGATAATCTAAATCGATCGATAGAAGACATTCTATATCGATCGATACAGAAGTCCTCCAAGGCAATTAAATGATGATTAGAAGCCCTAATTGCTTCACAAGAGTTTCAATAATTTACACCTTAAGTCCCTGGCCGCCTGTTAGGCTATTTTAAGAGGGTTTTGTACTAGATTAAGCAGACTTCTCTAAAGACCTTTATACCTAAATTTTGGGAGAAACATCTAGCCATACTTTGAAGAAGAGCTTAGGAATAGAGAGAGAGAGATCTGAACTACAATCCAGAGAAGATCTTGAACTCCCTTGCTTTACTTATTGTTTCTCTTATCTTTATTATCTCAAAGCATTATTCAAACCATTATGACTTTGTGATAGCACTCAAATGTTTAACCCTAAGGAGTGAATTACTCTCTCAAGTAAGAGGTTGAATCGTAGTACTTAGGGATCGAATCCACAAGGAGCTAGAGTCACAAAAGATATAATCCTAAGTGATTAAGCTAGGTTGATTAGGTTTAAAACAATAAATAAAAGTTGTGAGCAATGGTAAGTTGCTAAGGAGAATGAGTTTTGGGTTTTAAAACAATAAAAGAAAGTAGCTAGATTCAAGGTTACTATTCAGAAAATCAGGATTATATCTCTATGGATGTCTTAACGAATTGCTTGAAAATATATGAGAACTTCAATCCTTAGACAAATCTATAGCTGTCGCTAGTTAGACTTGTCCATTGATCTGATTGCCGACAGTATTGATCGATGTTGCTATCGCAGTGTCGATTGATATATGTTGCCGTCGATCGATTACTCTATAGGAGTATCGATCGATATAGCATCGGATCGAATTGAAACTTTGTTCACCCGAGAATTTCTATTAGACCGCCTATCGCACGTGCCTAATAGAGTCTGAGCTAAGCCAAATGATTTCAGGATAATGACTATTAGAGTCTGACCGCCTATCAACACTCCATAGTTGAAGCTAATCCCTCATAACGATTTGAACCCTAAATCTAACAAATGAATCTACTCAGACATAGCCAAGTGATTCATAGCAAAAGAATAAGATGAAAAGAAAATACTTTATTGCTAAGTATAGAATAGTAAAAGATTACAAAAACTTAGATGTCTTGCTAAAGCACTTAGGCATAACTATAAATATGAGTACAATTAGGTTAAAAACTCGTCAGGGGCAATCTTGTAATTTGGTGGGAACTTGGGCTTCAAGTCGGCCAAGTAAATCTTGCTCATAACGCTCTGTATCGATCGATGGTACATGGTGTACATCGATCGATGGAGTATCTCGACTTCAACTTCTACGGAAGCGTCATCGATCGATTACACAAGGTGTGTATCGATTGATATGTGTCTCTTATTGTCGGATCTTCATAGTCATCTTGGAAAACTCTCCTTTAAGCTCCATAAGGCACCTAAATCATCACTTTACTACAAAATGCTCATGAACCTGAAAACATAACTAATAGACCCCAAAACATGGATAATTATCATAAAAACATATCAATACCATGACCAAAAACGGGTCAAAATCATGGTATATCAACTCCCCCAGACTTAACCTTTTGCTTGTCCTCAAGCAAACCTTAAGTTAGTCTTTGAAAGAAGTTTAAAAACAGCAGGGACTCAATCAAAATCTCAACTTTAAAATCATCACCTCTTACTTTGTTGCAAGCCACATNATAAAAACATATCAATACCATGACCAAAAACGGGTCAAAATCATGGTATATCAACTCCCCCAGACTTAACCTTTTGCTTGTCCTCAAGCAAACCTTAAGTTAGTCTTTGAAAGAAGTTTAAAAACAGCAGGGACTCAATCAAAATCTCAACTTTAAAATCATCACCTCTTACTTTGTTGCAAGCCACATCTCATATCTGACAACTACAGAAGTACATTATACCATATCCTAGCTTAGCAACCAATTACATCTAGCCAATCAACTTAGACATTCATTGTCTGTCTATCCCCTCTACTGGTTTCATTTATGCATACAAATAAAGATGTAGGCTTTACTTTAGGAAGATAGACACACGATCACTACCTATCGACCGATACGAACCAGTCGATATCGCTCGACACATACCTACATGCATCGATCGACGATGGCGACTCACCATCGATCGATATCCATATCGGTCAGGTATATCGTTTACAATTTCGATATCAGTTACACATTTATTTTTTCTTATGCTCTAACTCTGACTGATTATACACTGAGGACAGTGTATGATTTAAGTCTGGGGAAGATGACTACTGATGCTACTTACCTCTTTTTCATCTTATTTAAAAAGTTTTCAAAAATTGGTTTTATTGAGTCTTGAAAGGAAAAAAATTTCAAAGTCTTACTTTTTATCTTACTACTCTTTAGCACCATTCTTAGATATGTTGATTGCAGAAAGTACTATAGATGCTAAAGTGGATCACCGATCACCTATGACAACACTTTCATGATTGTCTGGAAGAACCAAAGCTGATTTCCAACCTAACCTGACATCTACTGCTTGTCTTGGGGCTTGGTATACAAGGGATCGGAATCCTCCTGCAAGTCTGGAAGGTAAAAGTCTCAAAATTTTTGGTTTCCTTCTCTCTTTCCTTCGGCATCCCTAGAGAATAAAAGACGATATGATTTCCTGAGAGGCAGAGGGAGAGGTACATTACCTATGACCCCACTATTCTAAATCAAAGGAATGATCAAAGCGAGGGAGAGGTACATTACCTATGACCCCACTATTCGCTTACACTTTGTCAAGAAAGATCAATAAGATGAACATTAGTTGTTCATTGGGATTGATATAAAAAAAAAAGAGAAAAGAAAGAAAGAGTTGGGATTCAGAGAAGGGGGATAAAGAGAGAAAAGGAATCAGGATGAGAATGCATAATACCAAAATTCTGGAGCACGGGTATCGATCGATGGATTGGGTTTGTCATCGATCGGGTTATTGACGGGTGTATCGATCGATGCAGGGGGGTCTGTATCAGTCGATGCCTGTGTCTGAGATTTGAGTTGTGCGCGCAAGGTGTTGACTTCTTCTTGTAGGGCTTCTTTTTCTTGTCGTGCTAAGTCATTGCAGGTGGTATTCCATAGCAGTTCTCCTCGAAGTCTTGATAGGTCTTTCTCATGTTCAAGTCTCATTCTTGCAGATTTAGTATCTAAGCGAGATTTTAGGAAAAGTATGTTAACTTGCAGAATGGATAATTCCATAAAGGATTGTCTATATGTATCGAAAGGATATAGTTAGTTTAGATAGTTGGACTAATTTTAAGTTAGATTTACGAATAATTTAAATAATCTGACAATTTTTTTTTGGTCAATTTTGAGGTTTCAAAAATATTTTTTGGGACGATTTCAGATTTTGGTTACAATCCGATCCAAACCAAATCCGGAAAGAACCGAACCGAAATTGAATCCAGAAATAACCGAATCAAAACCGATCCAATAATCAATAAAACTTGAATGGGCCTGAAAAGCATAATACCAAAAATTTGAAAATCCGAATCAATCGAACTAAAACCGATGGATCTCCAAATGCCGAAATATATGATATATTAAAAAGACCAACATTTTTATTTGTCATTTTACAATCGATAAAGCATGCGCACGAATATGATCTAGTTGTATATTGTTTACTTATCTCGATCCATAAAAGTCCTAAACCTATCTAACGGAAAACCCACACTCGACTGAAACGCGATATAATTGTTAGCAAAGTCTCGGAGTGTTTCATCGAGAGGTACTCTTGAGAGCTCTAGAATTTCAAAAGCGTTTGAAGCGTTTATAGACGACATAATCTGATTTCTACATAGATCCCTTAAATAAGGAATCTCGTATTTGTCAGCTGCTCGGTACAAGGACATTGCATGTTTCTTTAGCTTCTCGGGAGGCATGCACTCCCCTGCGTAACAAAACTCGACAAAAACCTCTAGCTCATCATGTTTAAGATCGGAGAGAGAGATTGTCTCGTCAACGATCCAGCTCTTGATTTTGTCGGATTCAAACATGGTCGCGAACACCTTTGATCTTGCTGCCTATAATATCATCACAAATTATTTTGCCATAGGATTTAATGATGAATATTAAAGATATTCACATACCAGAATAAATTTGTGGGCGGCGATGATTTCGTTATCATCATTGGTGTGGCCGGACTTGAGCCATACATCGACCTTCCATTGTTCTTTGAGAACTTTCACTAGTCCATGGGTGAAAAGTTCTACGTTTGTTTGATTTGCCATAGCTTTGTTTATTGAAAGACAATCAATCAACAAAAACTTCGGCTATATATGAATTTGGTCAGGGTTTCATTTATCTACAAGGATTTGGAATTAAGGAATCCTAATCGGAAAACCGAACTTAAAATTGAATACATGGTTATTGGTCATTAATAATTGATAATCATCAGATAATCTATATAATTAGTTTGTTCTTTATTTATAATAAAGAAAATAAATTTGTTTTTAGGAAACTCGTCCCTTGTTATTGAAGAAATATATTAATTAATGAAATTTTGGCCAATTGGTGTGGAAAAAAATCAACTCATATTATATTTAATACTCTTTTTGTCTACTGATTGGACTGAAATTTATTAATGCTTCTATATTAGGAATCTAGACTTCGCATCTCAAAAATAAGGCACCCCCGAAAATGTGCCATCTTATGTGGCAGATCATTTCGGGACAGGTGGCGGTTACGAGCGCTTTGAATCATAGACATATGAGATGCGATAACTTCTGCCCACGGTGCGGTGAACCGGATGAAACAATTGCACATGCAATTTTTCAATGCCCACCGGCTTTACAGGTATGGGCCTTATCATCTATACCCTCCAGCTCGGCTTTGTTTCCCTTGGAAAGCACATATGCGAATATGGATTATCTATTCTGGCGGAAGAAAGCCATCTGTGGGCCAGATCTAGACAATGATCCTTATCCTTGGCTAATATGGTACATTTGGAAGGCTCGGAATGACAAGTTGTTCAGAGGAATAGATAGAGACCCGTTGGAGTTGACACCGTATGCAGAGAGCGAGTGTCTTGCCTGGTTCCAAGCCAATGAGCAGGGGGTTGAGGTTACACAAGAGGATGGTAATACAGCCGCAGGCCATAAGCCTAGGTGATATTTGCATGATAGATGGTTCTTGGACCTCTGTAGCTCAATTTTCAGGCTGTGGTTGGGATTGGAAGGATAGCATGGGTGGCAGCCAGTTGATGGGGATGCGGAATGTGAGTAGAATGGAGTCGGCTTTGCATTCGGAGCTGGAAGCGCTGCGGTGGGCAATGGAGAACATGCTTCAACATTCGCCATGTCAGAGCTTTGGGACGGATTGCAAGGAATTGTTAGCAATGCTCAAGGATCCCCATGGATGGCCAAGCTTTTCAACGGAATTAGAAAGGATCTCGACGCTGAGGATCTGCTTCCCAGAGTTTAAGATATCTTATGTACCTCGATCTTTAAATGTTGTGTCTGATCACCTAGCTAAGACTGCCCGATCCTTTTATCGGGAACTCATGTTTATTGGTTGTTCTATTCCGGTCTGGATTTCCAGACCACCTCAAGCTTGAGTAATAGATCAGGCGTTCGTTGTAAAAAAAAAAAAAAAAAAAAAAAGGATTTATTAGTAATTATGTAAACTAAAGCAGCTCAAGATGATGGAACTAAAATCGTGAGACATGATTCGCATAAACCATGAATTCTCGGTTGTAAAAGTATTTATTTAATATTTTTATTATTTGTAATAGAATAATATTTCACTGTCTAAAATTTTCAAAAACTAGAAACAATGAAAACTTTGACTCTAATTAACAAACGTCTCCGTAATTAGGCCCAAAAGTCAAAACACTTTCAATCAACAAAATTTGCATTCATATTTTCAAGCATTGAAACGAAAGAAAAAGAAAGAATTAACCAAAAAAAGTTTTAGATTGGTACGTCAAAAGTAGCAAACGATGCTCATTAAATATTCGTTACAGCGGACCAGTAAAACCGCTCCGTGTAAAATCTTATACTTATCTTTTAGGGTATGTTCTATTCCCCTCTGATTGCAAGAACCCTAAATAACTCCACGGCTAGACTTGTGTTCCTCATCACGAACGAAGTAAACTCTGGAGTAAAAACAATCACTTTCATGTGATCTATGACATAACACCAAGCTTTGTAGTGAAGGGTTTTCTCACGAGGATCGTCTTTGGAGAGTTCCAAAAAGTCAAGAGCATTCCCCATGTTAAGTGAAGAAATAAGTTGGTTTCTACATAGGTCTCGTAATAAAGGGATGCTGTACAAATCAGCTGCAAAATACAACGACCTTGCGTGCTTCTTCAACTTCTCGGAGTACTGTATGGAGTTTCCAACGTACATGAACTCAATAAAAACCTCTAACGCTTCATGGTTCATTCCGTAGAGAATGATTGTCGCCTTCTCATTATCATCACCGTCACAAATCTCTCTGAGTTCGTCTGATCTTGCTCCCTATGATATGTAATTAAATCAATTAGCCATAAAATTGGAGACTTTTTTTTTGCATGCAAAACTAGATAATTGAAAAATACATACCAAAATAACTTTATTGGCAGGGATAGGATCTTCGTGATCATCCTCACCAGCCAAACAGAGTACATCGGGGTTCCATTGTTCTTTAAAGAGCTTCACTAGACCATCGTGGAAAAGATCCTTGTTCCTTCGCTGATCGGCCATAGCTATAGTTTCTTAGAGAAGCAAGCAAACGATTGAGAGATTAAGAAAAAAGAAGGTTAAAATTACGCAATAATAGGACCAAAGTCGAGTATATCGATATATATATATATATATATATTTATCTCTATAATATTATTTGAGAAGTCAGTTTCCTATGTGTCGCGCTCACGTTTATTCTCACGATGGTTGATTACATTGATACCCTTAATGAATTAAAAATAGTTGAAAATAGTATTATTAATTCTTTTATTTTTAGTTTTTCCTTTTCAAAAATTTCCAAAAAGATATGTAATAAAAATGCATTTTTTTATAAATAGAGACAGTTTGCTAATCCTAACTAGGAATGCTAATCACTAACATAAACAAAACTAGAATTTCACCCGCACGGAGGGTATATTTTTTATTTTATAAATATATAACTAAAGTTTTTTAATATATGATTTATATTTTAAGTTTTAATTATAATGATATCTAATAACGAAATAAAGAAATACTTATTTTATAAAAAAAAATATTTTAATTTTTTGGTAAGATCTTGTTAGATTTTTTCAACATATTTTGTTATATTTAAATTTATTTATTATTAATATTCTTATTAGTTATTAAGATATTTTGAAAATAATATATACTAGACCTTGATCCGTGCGACCGTACGGGTATTTATTTTCTGTTTTTAAGTTTTCTTTGTACTAAATGATGTATTTGTAATATTTGGTTATGTTAAATGATATACTAAATGATGTATTTGTAATATTTAATCGTGATTATTTTATGTTTAAACCATCAATTGTATTATCAATATTCGATATCATATAAACAAAATTTAATATATATATTTAATTAGACATCTGTATAAGATAAAGAAAACAAAAAACAATGTTTAATAATTTAAAATATGAAAAACAGAGAACTGTGGTTTAGTATGCTATAGAAAAAATGATAAATTAGTTATAAAATTTTGAAAAAAATACAATGATTTTTAAACTTCTATAAAATTTGTACCAGATAATAATCTTTCTTACAAATTTTGTAAGAAAAAAAAATTACATTGTGTTAATAACAAATGACTTATGGGCTTGGTCCAAACCGAGGTTGCAACCTTTTTTCGGGAAGTGTAACAAGAAAATTATCTTTGGAAATTGTTAACAAACAAAAATAGTCTCAGTTATTTGTTTTATGTTCTGTGATGAAAGTTAATAATAATCTCTTTCTTTTTCGATGATTTTGAGGAACTTTAATAGAAGATAATCCTTTGGAAATTGGAAAATCCGTTCATCTAGTTCTCATTTTTTACTATTTTGATCCAAAGAGCTTCTGCAAGGTTAATATATGTAACCCTTTCTCAAGTTTACTATTTCGATCGGTTATGTCTTTTGATGTTTTAAAAGGACCGGGTACTTTCATCAATTTTTTTACTTCTTATTTGAATTGAGTCTTTGTTCCTATCCTCTTAAATACCATAAGAAAAAACATATTACCTAATTCTTCACCATTTCTATTCACTGGTTTTGTAAACTTTGTCTTTTGTAAACACAAAATGCTAAGGTTAGTAAGAGCAAGAGTTTCATCAGCGTAGGGTGGGTTTTTGTTTCCACGAGTGAATAAGCTTCACTTGCAGTCGCCACCCTTCTTTGTAAGGTTTAACATCTTCAAGCAATGAAAAACTTTTGTTTACTTGGTGTTTTGATCTGTGAAAAAAGGTATAGTGGTTTTGCATTTTCACGTGGAAGGTCTGGTATATATAATGGGATATGAAACCCTAAAAAAAAGATATTTTGCAACTAAATTTCTAAGGCATATCACGATAATTAATTGTATAAAATATTTGTTTAGAGTTTTTTAGACGCAAAATATTAGGGATTAATTAGAGAAGATGCATTAACTTAGTAGAATATCCGATATTGAGTACTTATTTCCATAGTTTTCAAATTACAGTTCGTATAGATATTTTAAAAAGAAAGATTTAGAAAATCAATGATTTCAATACTAAAACAAATTTTGTCCTCAAGTAAAAGGATAGATAGGTATATGGAAAAAAAATAATTGATTTAGGATTCTAAGATTTTATCTTATACTGTAGTTAGTTGAAATCGTGTGTACCAATTTCTAGATTTTATTGTTACTAAAAATTTATGGTGAGACTGAATATATGGATTTAAACTTTTGATTAAATAGGTTTAAAATTTTATTTTTATATTTTGTTCAGATTTAATTTCCTATGCGTTATGAAGAAAATGAGTTGGAGAATGTTCGAGATTTATGGTTTTGTAAATTTCAGTGACAACTTCAATGATGTTCTCTCTTATAATCACGTAAGATAAATAATTCAATTTATTCAACTTTTAATTGATTTGTTTGTACAGATTTAATTTGCTATGTGAAAGGAAGATAATGAGTTGGAGGATGTTGGAGACTTATGGTTTCGTAAATTCCAATGACAATCTCAATGATGTCTCTATTATAATCACGCAACATTTTATTGTCACTGATTTTATTAGATACATTTGATAAAACCATGTTTTTGTTGACAAATTTATTTTAGTTAACAACCAATTTAATTAATCTCTATCATTAAAAGAGGAAAAGACAAAGATACTTAAATATAGGGTCAATAAATATATCATCAGTGGTATTCTAATGTCAATAAACTGTAAAACTAAGGGTTAATTTTATTTGGTACTTCTGTTTTAATAAAGTAGATTTGACTGGTTAATGTAACAATCAAATATATCAATTAAGTAATTAAAAACATGGTCGTACATGATTTTTGAATATTAGATAAATTTGGTACTTATCTTTTAATAGAGAAGATATAATAGTCCAATTTGACTCTCTTTTCTTTCTCTAATGGACCAATTGAGTTTTTTTCTTTTTCTCTAATGGGCCAATTGGTCTCTCGTCTCTCCAATGGGTCAGTTGTGGACTCCATCTCTCAACCCTTAGCAAAATTGGGTTTAATTAGTATTAAATAATAATATCATTATCAGTTTAGATACGCTAACAGTACATTCACAACATTCTTGTGCTATTTAACGTCAAAGTGAATAAAAAACCTTCGAAGGAAACTTAATCACTTTCATGGTCGGGTTACCCTATGGGGATATTCTGTTGTTTTACTATAGTGGGGTTTTGTTATACATCATGGCCCATGTAATATGAATGTGAACGACGGCAAGTAGTAAATTCATTTAACTGAAGAAGTTGTGAACCTTAAAATCTGAAACTTAAATTAAAACGTAAGAACAGCTAAAACAACAAAACCATACAAAAGCTTACTTACACGAAATTTTTATTTCTCACTAATCTAATAATGTCTCTTGCTTCTCGTTTCCATCATGAACGCCTTAGTAATTTGAAACGCATAATTGTTCATTCTTTTGAGAAGAGGCTGACCCATATAGTAGAAAGAGGTGTCATCTGACACAGGTTAAATATAAATTTTCGTGAGTTTACTCAAGCACGGTCTCAATCCCAGGCCGATGCAGAAAACTTGGATACATGACTACCGAGTTGTCTTTTTTTTTTTAAACACACTGAGTTGTCTAGTTAAAACTTGGAAAATGCATTGACAAAAAACTTGGAAATTTCACTAGATATTATAATGGATAATAAAACTATTCGTTAATTTGTATGCTAGATTTCCTGGACATGCTTCGTAAGAAAAGTTAATTAGAAAGGAAATAAGATCGAATGTGGATATTTCAGATATGATAGCTTCAAATGCTAAAAAGGATTACATGTTGGGAAAAAATGACTTTCCAACCATTCAACAGCAAATATGTGGGGTGCAAGCAGTCGCTCCATCCATCCATCGATCCATACACATACGCAATATATATAGCGTCAAGATTATTTTATTTTGTTTTGTAAAACAAATGTTAGGTAACATAAAATTGTCACGGTTGATATTAGAGTTTGCTTTCCAGTCTTACTACGCAAAAAAAAATAAAAAATCAAATGATTAAGTTAGAAATTTGAGAATGAAGAACTATGAAATAATTTGCAAACGAAAAATTGACTTGCGTTTCACATGATTGAATTCGTATACATATTTTTCTCTATTATACGATTCATACGATATACTACATATTATTTATGTGGTCACAAACATAAAACTATGATTAACCCCAGGTTTTTAATTTTGGATAAGAGACGGTGTTAAGTTTTTTTTAGATTTTAACTAAGAGATGTTAAGAATCGTTTATTAAATAAGAGATATAAGATTATGATTAATTCAGTCTCTTAACTGAAATTTTTAACTTCGGATAAAAGATGGTTTTTAACTTTTTAAGATTTTTATTAATAAAAGTTAAGAACCGTCTCTAGGTCGAAAAATGTAAAAAATAAATAAATCATGATTTAAGAAAGAGACCGAGGTTAATCATGTCCTAAGAGCGGGTTTTATCTGAAAAATGTTTAAAAAAAATATATATCAAATCATGAGTTAAAATTAGGAATTAATAACTCCGGCTAAAAGACATGGGTTAATCATGCCCTAAGCTTATTATGTTCAGCTCATGGCGACATAAATATTGATATGTAACTTTGAGGTAACGTCTAGTAAAAAAATTCAGTGTAATAAGTTTTTGGCATTGTGCAACACCAAAGGACAAAAAAAAAACAAAAAAAAAAAAAAAAACACCAAAGGAAAAGAAAGTTCTGTTTATTCCTATAAATTGAAACGTTTATAGGGAAATGGAGTTCAAATCACAAACATTAACCACGTCCAATAAACGTTTCATATTAGACAAAACATTTATAGGCCACAAGATAAACTTTGGCTTTGAGTGTCCGGTGTCCCAAATTATTAAGGCCAGCTCATCTTGCACATATTCAGACAGATGCCTGAGTGGACTAAATTATTAATAAGTCCATATTTTATGATTTCACAAATATTTAATCAGTCAATTAAACCCTTGAAACTTTTATATAAAAAATCGGAACAACATGGGTCCAACATCTTGTTATCAAAAGTAGAAAGTATTAGGTACATCGATAAAGCATAAATTTCTTAGTTCTTACAACACATGACAACAAAGACTATATAAGCATTGCAAATACAGAAGCCTCATTGTTATCTTTAGTACTTAAACTTGTGATGGCTTAGTCTCAGCTTCTGCGAGTTTTGGTTCATCATCAGGCTTTGCATCAACCTTAGCCTCATTCTTAGTCTCCGCCTCGGTTTTAGTCTCGGTGACGGCCTCAGCATTAGACTCGGCCTCAGCCGTAGGCTCGGCCTCAGATTTAGGCTCAGCCTCAGCCTCCACAGGCCAGTAAGAAGTCTTCTTTCCAGTTTTTGAAACTGTTTGAAAAACTGCTTCAGGCTCGACATTACCTTTCACTGTTACCTTTTGCTCCTTTATATCAATGTCAAATGACTCAACCCCTGAGAGAATAATTTATGAATCCATTAGTCAGGAAAGTATACAAGGCAGGGTAATAAAATGATTAATAAATTAAAGTATCTAAAATGTTTTAAAATAGAGGATTGATGAACACCTTCCATTTTTCCCAAGACTCTATTAACGGCACCAACGCAGCCTTGGCATGACATACCAACTTTGAGGACCACAGTCTGAATTTATTAGACATTTTTAATCCGAAAAAGTTAGAACATATAATTTGATGTGCGTTAAACCGAAACAATTGTTAGTATCATTTGGAAAACAACACTAAAAGAATTGTTAGCTTGAAGATCATTTGCTCTCCATAACATTAACTCATTTTTTATTAGCCAACTAGCCAAGAAAAAGTACCAGACGTGAACCCAAAAGAAAAAAAAAAGATAATAAACAGAGAGATCAAAGTCACATAATTACCTGAGACATGGCTACAATTAGATGAAACCAAACGAAAGCCTTCGAGAGATCGACGATCCGAATTTGATAATGAGATCTTTGTAGTTTGATGAATGAGAAGAAATGGTGTGTTCTTGATTATATATAACGCAAAAAGCAAAGGTTCGTCGGAGGAGTTAGCGTAAAGGAAACGAGCACATTATTAGAATAAGTGCACTTATCATATTCCAAAAGTGTTAGGAAGATTAGTTATACCGAATGTGAAAAAGCATGCCAGCTACAAATTCCACTAACCAAAAGTACAAATACAAAGGAATGAAGGATTATGAACTCCTCGTAGTACACTTCTTTTGTTGTAGTACCAAGTATTTATATTACTCCATCCGTTCAAAAAAGATCAATGATATAGACAAAAACTGTTTAAAAATATTTTTTTAACATTTTTATTATATTAATTAATGGTAAATTCTAAACTTCAAAAACTATAGTTATAATTATTAAAATTTAAAAGTTATGAGGAATAGTTTGCTACAAAAAATAATGCATTGGTAATCAAAATTTTATGTATATTTTAATATGTATATAATACACCCTCCGTTTCATCTTAGTTATTCATTTTAGTTTTGTGCACACATATTATTTTTTTTTTAATTTTTCATTTTTTATATAAAAATACAATTACCAATAAATCTATTTACATTAGAAAAATAGAATAACATATAACATTAAGAAATTTTATCTTAAAATCATCACGATAAATTGAAACGGAGAGTAATTAATGAGTAAACCTATATAAATTGCTATATGTTTATACTATAAATTTCTGCATGGTTTTGTATAGATTAGAATTTAGAACCATATAACATTTTACATTTTACGTTGGTTTACTCACATTTGAAAAAAAATTATATATATATATATATATATATATATATTCTAATATTTATACAGGTGGGTTTTTAATAGTATCTATGGATGCAACAAAAAAATTCTTAGTGAAAGTAAAACTGTATACTGTTAACTTTGTAACAAGATAAACTAACTATTTGTTGTGTAGTAAATTAGTAATTCATTGTGTTATCCTGCCAACATATATAATCATTTTTTATCATAAATAATAAAATTAATAGAAAATCTAGTTTTAAAAGTATAAGAGAAATCTAATCATTTCCTAATGTTGATTGTAACTTAAAAACCTGTTGACCAAAAAGAAAAAAAATCTAATATACTTTTTTCTCTCATGGAATAAATCATTCCCTATATATTAAAAGAAAAACATTGGTTTTAATACGTTCACACCACTTTTTCCACGTGTCAACTTAATAGAGTTTCTTACAATTTTATTTCCATTTTTACTTATAATTTTAATGTAAATGTGAACTTCTTTTATTTCTTAAAAAACTTTGCTATTAAAGTAACTACACAATTCTGCGAACATGAAGTATATATTAACGGAACAAGAGTCACGTATACGAAAAATAAGTTACAGGACCTGATACCATGATCTTAGCTGAGCTCCCATATGTTCAACTGATTTCATAACTCCCTCTTCTGAACTCTTCATCTCTAAGTTAACAAACTCTCTAGCCTTATATAAGGAATGTCGCATCTTGATAACAGTCCCTGTCAAACTATCTGAATCAATATTAGCATACTTCTTCACATGTTCAAGCTCAATGCTAACCCCTGAGACTTTCTGAAGTCGGAGTCCGTGGTATTTCTCTTCCGTCTCCTTAGAGGTATCCTCTGCCATTAGATCCTTTGTTTTGACGCTTGAGAAGTTTTGGCTCTCTCTGATGGTATGTGCAGCTCTCTTCCTTCAGTTCTTATGATGTCTTGGATAACGAAGTGGATGAGAGTTGTTTTACAATCGGTTACATTCACGTCTGCTAGATTCAGAAGAGTGTATAGCTTGAAAGGTTCACAGAGAACATTTTACAACAAAGAATGGTTCTTCACATTGCTTGACCTGCAGCATATACCATGCAAGTTTCTTCATAGTCGGCGCCTTGCGGTTTCAAGACGGAGAAGACATAGCATGAAGTTCCCTAACGATCTTTCTCTTATTTCATGGACAAGACTCACAATGGTTTCAAGCAATCAGTCTCACCAACATTAGACATAGAGGAAGCATTGATTACTTTTGTAGCACCGAATGAACTCTACGTTATATGGGTTTCGTTTCTATACGTTCATGATTTTATACAACATGCACTATTTTGTGTTTTTCTTTATACAAAACTTACGAAGTTTGTTTAACCCGAATTTTTTTTATATATAATTTGGTTAAGCCATTTAAATCGGATAGAACTGTTGGTTTTTGTTACTCTGATTTTGAAACCTTACGCTTCAATTTTATGTCTTCGACTTCACAGCATTTGAGTGATTGGCAAGATTTATTAATGATGATAGAAGATTTGCATAAGTTTAAAAAGTTTGGTTTATGGAAATATTGACATGCTTGTGGTATAAGTAAATTACTCATGATCATGACAAAAATATTTATATGAACTATTTTATTAGAGAGGCGACATAACTTCTATTAGGTTTATTATAGCTATATAAGAATAATGTTTCTCATCTATGTTACTCATAACCTAAGCAAAAACCTAGACATTCTTGACTCATTCTTTTATAATGGCTGCGCTTACCGCTGTGTCAGATTTGAAACCCTTCAAGTCTATGTGGAAGATTAGGGTGAAGATCATACGTTTGTGGAAGCAGTATTCTGCAGCCGGTGGAGAAACGATTGAGATGGTTCTAATCGACTCAAACGTACGCATCCTTTATTCTTCACATTAGTAATATTTAGTATTTTTAATGTATCTATCTAATTTCTGACTATATTAATTGGTTTTTGTAGAGTATTAAAGATTAATGCTACTGTGAAAAAGATCAAATGAAAGATCAATAGTCTTCCCCTGCAGTTTTGGATCTTTCATCATTACTCGAAGAATAAATTAACCTACAACCAAACCGATGTCTACACTAAACAGACCTAATATCTTCTTATATGCTAAATAACGAAATTAATAATCTTATCCCGTGCAAGGCGCGGATTATCACCTAGTGGATAAATATAATACACAACAGGCCCACTAATAATTTTACCAAAATGGGCCCTTAAACTCACTAAACATAGTTAATCTTCCAGCTGTTGGAGACTTCTTCAGAACTCTTCTCATTTCCAGTTTCCTCCACCTTCCCGCCCCTAGCCACTGTCATAGCCACTGTCATCTTCTCCCCACTCGCCGGAGAAGCATGGAACCTCACCGTTCCATCACAGGAAGACCACACAGAAAACCCCTCGGAGATTGCACCAACACCATCTCCAGAAGAACTCCCCAACTTCCATCTTCTCCTTCTTTTTCCTTCGTAAAATTCGCGAATCCGAGTCTCACTTCTTCTCTCAAAAGGTTAGTTGATCAAACCTCGCTAAAGGAGAAAACCAAAGATGTCAATAACTCCTCCAAGGTTGTTGCCGTTACCGGAAACGCTTCCAAGTCCGTTAGGCCCGTGACTCCCCATGCATCCCCCGATCTGGGTTCTCCGGCGGAACCTACGACTTCTCCTCCCTCGAAACCAGATGATGTCAGTAAACCAGAATCTAGTGCCGGAACTGCTTCCCGGTTAAGACCCGTAACTCGCCGTATGTCCGCCGATCTAGGTTTTCCGGCCTCCGCGCCGCCTCGGACTCGCTGCGACGAGGGTAATTGATCTCACCTACATTGGGTTTGCTTCAATTTGGTTCTAGTATATCGATTTCAGTTGAATTGAAATTTGTGCGCGATTCTAGGGTTTTTTTGTTTGAAGGAATTAAAAGGAAGATTATTTAGCTTCATGGTTCCTTTGTCATGTTTCCTGCTGTACTAGGAAGAGTCAAGCTGGTGTTCAATTTTAATTTGTTAATTCTGTGTCTATCATAGGCTACTGATGTTTTAAGAACTGTGTTATGCTTTAGGTGTTGGTGACAAGGAGGAGGTTACTAAGCCTTACTCCTCGGTTTACACGGTTAGAAGGAAAGCTTCCGGGAGAAAAAGAAGTAAAGACGTGTCTTCCTCTAGTGCACTGCCTCGCCTTCGTCTTGACTTGTTATCAAGCCCTGGGTATGAATACTCATTCAATGATTGTATATAAGTAATGGTAGCTATGGACATGTGGAATCAGGGTAAAATCTAGTGTATATATGCTCGCTTCTTTGTAAAGAATCTTTTTTATCAGTAAGAAATGTAGATGAGATAACTGGTATTAGTGTTGAACCTATTATGCCCATCTAACTTGTTTAGCATTTTGTGTCCTGTGTAAGCTTCAAGGATGCGTTGTTATTTTAGTAATTATTTTATGAAATTTGTATCACAGGAAGAGGAAACTTCAAGCAGATGAAAATACAACCAAGTCCTCAAAACCGGCTCCCAAAAAGGTGAATTCAGGAACGCTCTAGCTATTTATATATACTTATTAGAACTGTAATAGTTCTTTGTTGCTTTGATCTTTCTGTTGGTCTATCGGGTTTTTGGGCTCTACCAAATGTATATCAGTGCATCGTATGTTTCAACATTGATCGGTCACCACTTTCTCTGTCATTAAATCTGAAACAAGTGCTACACGTAGTTCGAAGATAGATGTCTAGTCTTTCAGATTCATGTAAATTCGTGTCTTTTTCAAAGAGGTGGATTTCGATTATTCTCAGGAGATTACTCTGGTCTTACTGTTTTAATGAGATGTGCAACTTGTATCTCCTCTTATCCATTTGTAGAGCCTTATACTCGCTGGTTGCTTAAAAGTGTTCCCCATATCTAATTATGTGTAATATATATATATCAATGGTTTTATTACAGAGGCAGCGAACAGTAAAGAAGCAAAAAGAAGATAATGATGTGTCTCATGGAGTTCCTCAGGATTATATTGAGCAGCAGAAAGCCTACTTTGCAGAGGTCGATGCATTTGAGCTGGAAGAAGAAGAGGTATCAAGTAGCGACTTAGATTAAGTAACAAGTGATGAGATGGCTATCTTAAGGATGTCAATGATAACACCATAACCCGTTTTGTTCGTATCACTGTATAGCTAAGGCTTCTTCTCGCACACTGACCCCTTAGAACACTTGACATGCCAACCTTTGTGTATACAAAAGATCTATCAGTTTATGAAATGATAAAAAGACAGTTCACAGCACAAGCTTTATATCACGACTCAGAGACGAACTATATAGATACATACATCTTACAAAGCATCATAGCATCTTTATGTTCAATGAGGCAAAGCAGCTCATAGAATGAATCAAGAACATAATAAATTAACGTAATTAAACTTTGTTTGTGTCGCCGATGGTGAGAGCTTTACCACAAGGAACAGAGAAGAAAGTTCTCTTTATACTCCTCATTGAAGAAGTTAAACCTTTTCTTCCACCATTGGAGTAACACAGAGTCGAGGTCGATGAAGATCTAAGCTCTGCTATTTGTAACTATCGAACAGGAGCGGTGATTTCTTACCACGTCTTACTGGTTTTCTCAAAGAATGTGGCGGTGAAGAGGAAAACGAAGATGAAGAAGCCATAGACGACCAAGAATAATAAGATGACCCAGTGACATAGTTGGGCTTCTTGTTCCTGCTATTGTTGCTTTTCCTGAGGTCATGGAACAGAGACATCGACAGGATTCTAGTAAGTTTTGTTCTCACCTTGTTCTGTCTCTTCGGCGTCGACAAGATCCCAGAGGAGGAGTAATACGACGGAGGCGGCGTGAGCGGCGGAGGAAGAGAGAACTCGGAAAAGTGATTGTGTTTGGGTGTGCCTGGCCTTGACTCCCATAAGAATGGTACAGAGGCTCCACCATAGTAAAAGGATCTCTCTTCTTGCTTCTCATGGACTGTAGAGTACTCCACGTCAACTCTTAATCTTCCTGACATTACTCTCTTACGTGTTTGTGTCGGAAACTAGAAGTGCCAGATTCGAAGGTTGTCGAGAGGTGGTTAGATCTCACACGAACACAATATTAAAGAGAGGGTTCTACTTGTAGAAGAGTCTTCTTTGCATGGTTGTAAGTGTTGATATTTATCCTTTTTTTTGTTGCTATTTAATTATTTTGGACTTTTTTTTTCATAGGAAATTATTCGTATGGATGAGCATGTTACATGTATAAGAAAGATATTTCCTCATAATACATAGGCCGAGAAATGGTTGATAATAAATGAAAGGTGGCTATCTTACTGTTGGATGTGTATGCATTAGTTATCTGAGTGACATGGGGATCAGACCATTGAGCATCTCTAAAAAGACTCTGTATTATAGAGTTTGCAAAACTCCATATTTGAAGTTTGAAAGTGTTATACCCCAAAAGCAAAACTTCAAATCTAACTTCAAAACTATTTGTATTTTATATAATGGTCTTTATATTTGTCATAACTAATTCAAATTCATAATAATTTTATAAATAACTATCACATGTATAAAAATATTAGAAAAATATTAAAGAAATATTATTTGATAAAATGTTACACTAAAATATAAAACTATAAATAGAAATATATAATTAAATATTAAAATACAAACAAAATATTTTAAGGATTATCTTGATGTTTTTTTTAAAACATATACAAATTTTAAATTTATAAAAATAATTTTGAATTATTTATGAAAAAATATTTTTTAAAGATTAAAACGATAAATAATAAATATGTAAGATTATTATAAATATGATGTGTAATTGTAAGGACCAAAATGCAAATAAAATATGAAACTTCAAATTTGAAGTTTTGATTAGTGACACTCTATATTTGAAGTTTCACTACTCAAAACTTCAAATTTGAAGTTTTAGAGTTCCTTTTTGGAGAGGCAAAAACTTCATATTTGGAGTTATAGAGTGTCTTTTAGAGATGCTCTTAGTGTTACTACTTGTGTTAAACCCATCTCATAGTTGCACTATCCAGTCATTTGAACACCCCAACTAACAACTTACAGCTTTTACGTTACTTTATAGTGTGTGACACTATCAATATAAATAATACGACCACTGTTTAGTGCTAACTAGTTATAAGTCCCAACACTAATCCTTTTTTGTCGGTTCGAATTTCTTTGGAAGATACGAATGCGAAAACAGAAATAGAAACGTGAGTGTAAAGTAGAATAGAATAGATATATTATTGTGTTGTGTTTGATATAAGAGTACAAGATGCATATATATATATAATGGTAACATTAACATAATGTTAACACTAGATAATGTTAACTTTCCTAAACACTTATGTAAATATGCTAAGAATATCTTGAGATTAACTTGCTCTTCAAGTCTTTCCTTTTAGTCTTGAGGATCTTCATGGATTTCATGGACTTCACAATCTTGGTCCGTAAGATACACATCTTCCGGCCCAACATATCGCTAATACTCCCCCGCACGACAAACGTGGGATGCAACACGCAAATCTGTAATCACAAAGCAGACCACGTATGTCATGGACACTATGTCGAGGAAAACAAATTAGTAAATTCCTTCGGGAATAAACTTCAACTTTGACAAGGAGGGATGAAAACTCCAGCTCTTCTTTAGTCTTGATAATGGGAATACATCCCGTGGGCGCAACTGCAGCTCCATAAACAATTGTCCTTGACTTGGACAGTCCACAACACGGACTAAAAAAACAAAGACCTTAAGACATGAGCATAACTAAAAAACTCCCCCGTAATGGTTAAACTATAACCAAACTATTCCAAACTAAAAAAAAAAAAAAACTATTCCAAACTATGGAATAATTAAAACACAATCTTTGAGACATCCTAAACCATAGAATATCTCACGAATAATTAACTAACCCATGAAATCCACTTCGACTTTTAATAAATCTTGCACTCATCAAACCCAAACCAATACTAGAAAAGAGAAGAAAATAAAACCCTTTTGACTTACGAAACAAAACCTTATTAATATTATTAACTAAAAACACCAAAACTAACGACTCATGACCACGTTATTGCGTCTTCATCGTCGGTATCATCACCTTCTTCTTCAACATCGCCAACACCAACGATGATAAACATCATCAATTTTAAAACTTGTGGAAGCTTTAATTTTGATCCCTAAAAATCGAATGCTCTGATACCATGTAAAGTAGAATAGAATAGATATATTATTGTGTTGTGTTTGATATAAGAGTACAAGATACATATATATATAATGGTAACATTAACATAATGTTAACACTAGATAATGTTAACTTTCCTAAACACTTATGTAAATATGCTAAGAATATCTTGAGATTAACTTGCTCTTCAAGTCTTTCCTTTTAGTCTTGAGGATCTTCATGGGTTTCATGGACTTCACAATCTTGGTCCGTAAGATACACATCTTCCGGCCCAACATATCGCTAATAGTGAGTGATTCAAAGAAGGTGGGGATTACTGTTTTTACGTGTTGATAGACCGTTGGATGAAAGGTGAGGAAGACGGTTGAGACTAGGGGTGGGACGGATCGGATATCCGGGGTATTTCAGGATATCCGGATCCGGATCCGGATTCGGCGGATCCGTAAAATTACTATCCGGATCCGGATTCGGGCCATCCGGATATCCGGGGTCCGGATATCCGGACTAAAACTCGGATACCCGCGGATATCCGGATCCGGTTTATTTAAAAAAAAAAAAAAAAATTCAAAATTCAGTATTTATTTATTTTATTAAAAATTATTATTTTCAAAAAAATTAAATTAAATAATAGAATTTATTAACAAAATTAAATATTAGTTATATTTAATAGAAAATATATAATATACCTATATAAATATAATTATATTTTAAATATTTTTTTAAATATTTAGTGGGCCCGGATCCGGATCCGGATATCCGGACTAAAATTTTCACTATCCGGATTCGGATCCGGATTCGCCGGATCCGTGAAATCACTATCCGGATCCGGATCCGGACCCCCCGGATATCTGTTTTTTCGGAGCGGATCGGATCGGATCCCGGATCGGATAGCGGATCTCGGATATAAGTCCCAGCCCTAGTTGAGACCGTATAAAATTAATGAAGGTTCCGATCGTATTCGTATCGTACGTGGTCCATTCTACTCCTACTCAGATTTTGATTTAATTCGATATGTTCAGATTTTCATTTAGTTCGATAGTGAACACAATATTTGTTTTTCATATAATGAAATAGCCGCAAAGTTAGTTATCTCTTTAATATTATTTGAGAAGTCAGTTTCTTATGTGTCGCTCTCACATTCATTCTCATGATGGTTGATTACACTGATACCCTTAATGAATTAAAAATAATTAAAAAAAATATTATTATTTTTTTTTTGTTTAGTTTCCTTTTCAAAAATTTCCAAAAAAATATGTAATAAAAAGGAAATTTTTTATAAAGTCATATAACAAATTCAAAAACGAAAATATATGTATATATTATGATTTCATAAAAAAAGGAAAGTTCACAAAATAGTAATAATACATTTAAAAATATTTTTAAATAACATAAAATATACTTTTAGAGTAATAAAAATAATTTATAATTAGTATTATTGATTTTTTATTTATTTTTCATATATTTAGTTGGCTATAATATCTTTCAATTACAGAAAATTATCTATAAATTATATTTTACTTATATAATTTTATTTTCAAATACAATCACAAATTTGTGTAATACTTATTCTTAAGAGATATTAAAAACTAAAAATAAATTTAACAACAAACATCGCTTGATCGAATAATTAACAATTAGTTTAATGAGCTAGATATATGATATTTTATCATTATTAAAATTATTTTTTTCTTAATAATAGATTTTCTTTTAAATTTTATGTTTTTATGTTTGTGAAACTAAATATAATGATAATCAAGATACCAAAGCAAATATGAATTCCCAATTTTAAAATCATTTAAAATAAATTTCATTTTTCATTCAATAAATCTAAAGCATAAAATTATTTAGAATTATAAATATTTTAATTATTATAAATATTGATATATGTTCATGAACTTCCAAAAATGTATCAACTACTTATGCATGTAACCTTCTATTGATCATAGGATAATTCA